TTAAATTATTATTCACCCCTTCAAGTGTTTTTTAAACATTTCTTTGATTAAAAAACAGTGAATTTTATGTCATACATTGTTTTGGATATTTTAGAGTTTAAATACTCAGAGGTCCTATGTTATAAAAGACCATGTAATATCTTATAGCCAGATCTTTTCCCAATCTAATTATTTTTCTTTATTTGTTTGTCTTCCTAAAACCTATAATGTAAATTTATATTGGCAACTGTACTTCCCAAAGTGAGAAATCAATATCCTAATGCTAAGAATAGTTTCTAAAATTCTGAGCCATTAACTGTATTGAAAGCATGCGATTAACTATTTCCTGGCCCACAAACAGATGAACATAGTCCATGTTTTGGGGAAGTATGCTCAATGGCTCAATACTCGAAAGGCTGAGAATTACAAGGAAAATAAAAGATTTAATCAGTTACTTTTGTCTCCGTCTACATTCTTTTGTGCAATAAATGATAGGAATTCTGAAATGTCACTTTTGATAAAGTTAAATTCAAAGCAATCTCATTTCCACTGTCTCAGATGGAGTGTCTCACCTGAGATTTGTTATCTATTAAAAAAGTCAGACATAACCACAGGCAATTCTGCCACCAAGCGAATGCTAATAAGTAATTTAATAGAAGTAACAAGGTGCAAAGGGATGATGCACGTAGGGAAACTTCCATTGTAGGGGTCTCTGAAATTCTCCTAAAGGAGGTTTTATGGAATCAGACTTTGAATCATGGTGCTATTGTCTGAATGTTTGTGTCCTTCACAAAATGTATATATTGAAATCCTAACCCCAAGGTGATGGTATTAGGAGGTGGGGCCCTTGGGCAGTGATTGGGTCATTAGGGTGGTGTCCTCATGAATGGAATTTATGACCTTATAAAAAATGCCCAAGGGAGCTCAGTTGTCCCTTCCACCGTGTGAGGACACAGCCATAAGGCACCGTCTATGAACCAGAAAGCAGCCCTCACCAGACACTGAATCTGCTGCCACGTTGATCTTGGACTTTTCAACCTCTAGAACTGAGAAATAAATTTCTGTTGTTTATAAGCCACCTTGTTTATGGTATTTTGTTATAGAAGCCCAAATGGACTAACACACATGTTTAAGACATGGCAGAACAATAAGGAAGATGCAGAGGAAAAACTCGATCAAAACATCAAAACATCAAAGCAGGGTTGAAATTCATAAAATCTTCAGAAGTGGTGAGTGCACAAAATGTTTTGGTGAAAACTGAGACACTAGGAACTTGCTAGTAAAAATCCCTCACCAAAATGCAGAGTTTTACTCATTGCTAAGAGTAATTTTCTTTTCTGGACACACTGGTGATACTCCTTTTGCTTCAGATCCCACAAATATGCATTATTTATGCCACACTTCAACTACTACTATTAAAATTGAGTATTAAAGTATTTAATGGCACTAGTATTTAATGGCACTTAGAATCATTCTTGATGCTTTACAAGTGTATAGAAGAAAATATAAAGGAAACAAAATAGCTTTTCAGTCTGCCCACCACCTTTATTGGCGTGCTTCTGCATGTTTCTTAACTTATCCCTGCATTGTTTGACGATATTTAGCAAGAGAATAGCAGACTTGAATTTCAGTTCTACCTCCAAAAAAAAAAAGGATCTTTGTTTGACTAATTAAGTATGTCACTCTTTTATCTGTAAAGAATGACATTAAATATGATTTTGGTGATCATTTAGAGAGTTAACTATGCAGTAAATTATTCTGTGATAGAAAATATGTATAAATTATAAATAAATTTACAGTGTTAGGTAACAAGAACAACTTATACAAGACCTCTGTTGGTATAACTAAGATTACCTTTTTATCAAGTACAAGATTATCTTTCTACAATCTGTGTATGTATAATTATATACTAACTATAAATTTGGTTATTTAGGCATTTATTGTACCAAAGGACTCACAGAAACAATAATTTATACCCAGTAAATGTTGTTCTTTGCTATCAGTGGATTGTTAGATTAAGTCCAAAGGAAGATGCAAGTATGGTGGGGGTTCCTTCTTGCCCAACAAATTTATACTCCCAACTCTCTCTTACCAGCCCATGTACCCCATTCACTTTTCTTACACAGAAATTAGGAAAGCATGATTCGGCAGGGGGTCCCCAAAGGCTGACAATCATGGTATCCTATGAAGTGTAACACCTCCAGGTCTCTAATGAGACAGACACACATTTACCATGACAAGGCTGTGTGGCTGAAACTGTGTATGCAACATGAGGGTTACTTACAGGAAAGTAAACTTCACAATGTGAAATATCTCTGTGGATATATCTTTGTGGGAATATTTGTTTTAAGTACTTAAGAATGGTCAAAGAATATAGGGGGAAAAGTACCAAAAAGAAATTCGCTCTCCTTTTGGGAGGATGTTTTTCTCTTTTTTCCTCTGCTTCCCAGCTGTGGAAATGTGTTGGAGCACCGGTCCCCACCTTTTTGGCACCAGGGAGTGGTTTCACGGAAGACAAGTTTTCCGTAGATCAGAGGGGCAGGGCTCAGGGAATGATGCGAGAGCAGCTGTAAATGCAGATGAAACTTCCCTGCTCGCCCACCACTTACCTCCTGCTCTGTAGTCTGGTTCCTAGCAGGCCACAGACTGGTATAAGTTCATGGCGCAGGGTGTGGGAGACTGCAGTGTTGGAAACCAAAGCTGTGACTAAAGTCCACAGCAGGGCCCAGGAGGACTCCCAAGGTCCCAGAGATGCCCAAGGACCAGAGGCTTATGAAATGCAGAAAAAGGTCTCACAGGCACTATGAGGAATAGCACGTAGCTGCAGTAAAATACGAACTGACAATAATGAGGAAACCAAAAGAGATCTGGAGTTCTTCCAAAGTGCCACATCCCACAAAAGCCCTTATGGATCTGTTCTGGGCACAGCAGTGTTGGGAAGTGTGGGAGGTAAGGGAAGTGCTGTGAAGCTCATGCCATCTGCAGCAGAGTGGAGGGCTGGCCCTGGGGAGACTCACCACCTCTGCAGGAGGCAGATAGGATGGACGGTTAGATGAACACAAGTTAAAATTCTGTCAGCAAAATCACGTCTGTGGAGGACAGGCATATGGATGAAGACACACACACAGAAGACCAGAGTCTCAGAGAACCCCGCTAGAGCCACACAGTGCTCCTGTGTATCCAGAAAGAGGACAGGAAAAGTACAAGTCTTACCTAAATGTGGGGTGAATGTTGCCAGTTCTCTCTGCTCTCCAGGTCCTGTTTCTCACTGGCAGATCTGCCTGCTGACATAGCTGTGGCCGGGTAGGGGTCCTGTTGGAAGGTAACTCCTTGCATGCCCAAGCCTGACTTTGTAGGTCAAGATGAGACCCACATCTCACTCTTACATCAACTGCAGAGGAAGTAGAACGTAGGAGTCACTGTGCTTCCCAATGATCCCAGTGGAACTCATTAAGTCTTAAGACCATGCTCCCCAGTTAACTAGTTGACTACACTGGGGACTGTCATGGCTCTCCAGTGACAATATCATAAAGGGTCAAGAGACTGTACACAGAGAAAAGCAACAGTAGCTTCAGAAGGTGTGCCCTTGAACATGTACCTTCATGACAAGACAATAAAACTCTAATGGCCATGATCCCATCAAAGCTTGTAAAACTTATGACCGACAAAGAATGTATATTATTTTCAAGGCTATGTTTCAAGTATTTTAAGTATTTTATGTAATGTAATAAAATAAATATATAATTATCTAATTTTATGTGACATAAATATTCTCTGTGTGAGGATTAAAAAGTGCAATCTCTGATCCCGAGTTCCTGCTGCCAAAGGAATGTCTAATGGTGTTAGGGGGAATTCTCTATAAAACTCAAAGCACCCTCTCTGTAAGTTACAGGACACACTTGAGGCTCCATGAGTCTGCAGGAGACAGAAGGTGAAAGGCAGGGCACACTCTGAAAAAGAGAATACATGTAGAAGACATTTGAGATATTAAGACTAGATTCAAACCCAGGCTTCAGTTTTCCAACCCTACTCTCCACCTTAAAGATCAGTACTTCAACTCACCCTAACCCCTTCCTGGTTCATGTGTGTGGCACATATGTTCCAAAACTCAGGAGAATTGGGACTGTATTTTGGGCAGAGTAAGAAAAAATGGGATCAAGACAATATTTGAAAGATTTTTATGGTTTTATGCCTTACATTTAAGTATTTTATCCATCTTGAATTAATTTTTATAAATGGTTAGGGATAGAGATTCTGTTTCATTCTCTATCCCTGACTATCTCTGACTATCCAATTTTCCCAGCACCATTTATTGAATAGGGCTTCCTTTCCCCAGTGTATGTGCTGTCTGCTTTGTTGAAGATCACTTGGTTGTAGGTAGATGGTTTTATATCTGTATTCTCTGTTCTGTCCCATTGGTCTATATCTCTACAAAAATAGTATGCTGTTTGGGTTACTATAACCTTGTAGAAAAATCTGAAGTCTGGTGATGTGATGCCTCCAGATTTGTTATTTTTGCTCAAGATTTCTTTGGCTATTTGAGCTCCATTTTGGTCCTAAACAAAGTGTAGATTTAAACAAAAGAGGGAAATGCTTAATTCTTGGATTTGAAAATAATGAATTAGTTTGTCAAATATGTGTGTGTGTGAATGTGTGTTACAGCAAGTTCCATAAGTCTTTGTGTGGCTTTTATAACTCAGAATTGCTACTTACTAAAGAAAAATCATTTGGGAGTTTATTTATATTTTTGTTAACTTAGTCTTATGGGTTTTAAGAAGCAAATCACTAGTTTGAATTTTTGTGTCAGAACATGAGTAAAGATAGCAAATGTTAATATAAACAATAACAACTAAAATAATCAAATTTCACAAAATTAAGTATTAACTAAAGTTCGTTTCTACTTCTGAATCAATGAAAATAGAAAACCTATTATGTGGGAAAATTAGGAGGAGATTTTCAGAGTACAAATCTCTAGAAAATAAGCACAATTCCTGGGAGAATTTCAGCTTTCAAAGCCTATGAAATTGTTAAGCTCAAGCCAAGATCTCAAGGGGATAAAAGGAATCAGGTAACGTCTGGGTTTTGGGGGGGAAAGAATAGAACATTGGCTGAGGTCTATCTCTGACAGGTTGAGTCTGAAAGAGGATCCAGAAGGCCCAGGGGGTGGAGGGATCAGCAGGGCAGGGTGGTGGGGGAGGGGCCGTGGTCCAGCCTCCTCCTCTCAGCATCCCCCACCCTCGGGAGCCCTTTGTGATGAGGCCACAGCTCTGTGATGCAGGCCTGGGCCCTGGTCAAGAGGCCCAAGGGAAACTCCCAGGGCTCAGTTGCTTTAGGGCAACAGTGCGATTCAGAAGATGAAGAATAATCTCCTGCCTCTGAAAAGCATTAGTCCCCCATGGGTGGGGGGTTCCTGGGTGTCCAATATCTTCCTGGTCTTTATTTGTGGACTGGCGCTCTTCCTCCTGTTTGTACTCTGCCGCCAGAGGGACCCATCCTCACCAAGGCCTGGGCAGAAAAGAAGCGTCAGGAAGGTAAGGAACCCTTGGCCCAGACCCAACAGGGAATGATCCTCTCTTTTCTTTCTATTATTATTTCTTCTTTTCCACATACACTAGAGACTCCCAAGATGGGAATCTTCTCATCTTCCTGGGCAGGGCAGGGCAGGGGTAGAGTGGCAGAGGATTTCTAACTGAAGACCTCCTGTGTGGGTACAGGAAGCATCAGGGCAAAATCAAATGCTGGGACTCAGGGGCGAGGATGGGACTATAAGTTGAGATCTCTGAGGGAGGACGGCCCTGGGCCCTCGCTCATGAGTCACCACCGTCTTCCCGTGGCTGGTGCCCGCGCGGCCCTTCCTCTGCGCGGGGTGACTGTGGGCTGTGCCGAGCCTGAGCGCCTCCCACCAGGGCTGGGGTGGCTCTGGCCTCCTCCAGCAGCAGAATCCTGAGAGCTCAGAGGTGCCTGTAGGTCTGAGTCAGTGAATTTCTCTAGTAGAGTGTTAATGGGAAAGAGCACAAACTCTGTAAAATAATCTGAAGAGGTTTACTCTGAGCTGAATGTGTGTGAGCACAGTCTGGAGCACATGGCCTCAGGGGGTTCTGAAAAAATGTGCCTAAGGTGGCCAGGTGAGAGTTTGGCTTTATACATTCATGGAGACAGGAATTACATGTAAAATCATAAACAAATACATGGAAGGCGTACATTGGTTTGGCCCCAAAAGGCAGGACATCTCAAAGTGGGGGCTCACAGGTTACAGGTGGGTTCAAAGATTCTTTGATTTGTAATTGGTTAAAGAAATGAAGCTTTGTCTAAAGGCTTGGAATGTTTCAAGTTAAGATAAGGAAGTCTGTTAATCATAGATAAGCCAGGGACATATACACGACTCAAGTGATCTGTTGAGTAAAATGGCAGCAGGTGTGGTGAGACCTTTGTCTGGCATGGCTTTAGGCCTAGTAATGATTTTGTAGCTTACCGTTGCAATGACTATCTTCAAAAGGGAGGGGCATAATGAGACATAATGAAGCCCCCTCCCTTTTGGAGTTAGTCATTGTAACAATAAACTAACAAATTGTTAGAAGCTCCCTTCTCCTCCTGGCCACCAACTCAGTTTTAAGGTTTTTCTGGGATCCCCTTGGCCAAGAGGGCATCCATTCAGTTGGCTGGGGGGCTTAAGATTTAATTATAGTTCATAAGAAGAACAGTGACAGAGGAAATCTATAGTTCTCCCATAGAAAATCCGTCTTTGCATTTTTCCACTTGAAAAATGAATAAAAGGAAAGAAAAGAAGACAGGGGTCCATTAGCCAGACACAGAAGGCCACGTCCTCCATGAGCACTGAATGTCCGCAGCCTATCTGGGGGTGACTGAGGACTGGTCCCAGCCCCTCAATCTTTCTTGTCTCTCAGCACCCAGTGGAGAGGACAGGGAGGAGGCCCAAGAGCAGGGACAACAACAGCGCTCTGAAAGGTAAGGCTCTGCCACTCTGCCTGGACCCCCTGGGGGTGCATAGCTTCACTGTCCCTGAGGGACGAGCCTCTGAGGAGGTCAGCTGCAGTGGCCTGGACTGGTGGGGAGGCTCCTGGGAAGGAAATCAGAACCCAAGGCTCTTCTCAGACCCATGCTGGGAAGGAGGCCAGGTGGGCCAGGAAGAGGTGCTGCCCAGGAGGGCATGAAGGGACAGGGGACCCATAACAACCTGGATGCGGAGGTGGGGCCTCCAGGCCCAACTGTGGATAGCTGCTTGACCTGGCTAAGGCTGGCTCTTCTCTGAGGGGACCCCTGTCTTCAGGTGTGAGGGCCCTGAGGGATGGACGCGGGAGCAGTGCATACATGGTAAAGCACTGCCCACCGTACTTCCTGCTGTCATGGCCTTGGACACTGATGTGTGCATCCAGGGCCTCAACCTACCCTAGAGGGACATTCAGCCACTTACAAGATCCCAAGGCCCTTCCCTTGCCCTGTAACCCGGCTCCTAATTTCCAGTTTGCAGAGACTGCCTGAGGGAACTGGAAGGCGCTCGGGACCTGACTTTGCTTCTGCAGAGGTGAGGGACTCTCCCCTTCTCTCCCTGTCCTCCTTCCTACTAGGCTCTGGGATGCCACCCCAGGGCCTGAAGCCAACCTGGGAGGGAGGAGAGCATGGGATGGGGACAGGGTGTGACTAGAGCCCTAGGGCCAGGGAGATGCAGAGCTTTGTGAAGTCAGCATGGGGGCGGAGGAGGGGCTGTGGGCTGCAGGTGCCCACCCCTGCCCCGCCCCTGGCCCCGCCCACCCCTGCTATAGCCTGTGCCTCCTGTCTCCTGCAGCTACCTGGAGAAGCTCCCTGACAAGAGGGGCTCTCATCAGCTCTCATGCCCAGACCCCCCGGGGGAGGAGTGCAACCCAGCACCTGCCAGCGCCCACCGGCCACGTGCGGAGCGTGTGCAAGATGCTTCTCCTGCCACCTCGTCCCCACTGGCATCCCCAGCTCCCTTGACCGAGCACCCCCCGCCTGTGGCCTCCACGCTGTCAGTACAACCTCAAGGAGACCAATCTGACTTGAAGAAATCCCCCCCAGGCACCGTCCCAGAGAGCTCACCTCCAGGTTACTCTTGTTTGGTGCCTGCTGTGTGGGCCATCTCAGCCCTTGAACGCACCATTTTGTTCCTCTCCCGGTGGTGGGCAGCTGCCAAGGCCCTGTTCTCCCCCATCTTGCCATACTGCAAGTCCCAGCAAGAGCCTCTTCGCCACCATCCACCAGGAGCTTGGTTCTGGGGAGACCCCACATATAGGCAGATAGAGGCTGGTGGCCCCACTTTCCTCAACCCTTATGTCTGGAAGCTCCTGGATATATTCATCACTAAGCGAGCAGCATTGAAGCTGGGGAAGGAGAAAGAAAAGGAAGGGTCACTTCTGAAACAAATGAGCCCAGACTACCCCCGGGGTTCTCTGGGGAACATGTTAAAGTCACTGGGTGAGGAGCAGGATAACAGAACCCCATGCCCCTTCTGGAACATGCAAGACAAACCAGAGCAGCTGTCTGGTCCTCAGGGTGAATTCCCAGGGAGGGGTTCATGTGGGGCAGAAGGCAAGCACAGGGCTTCCCTACCCTCCCAGCCTCCTGGGTCTGCAGGTGAAAGCAGCAAGGAAGAACAGAAGATGAGGTCCAGGCACTCTGGAAGATTCTCTTGGAAGGGCTCTCTAGGGGTCAGAGAAGAAGAGGACCCAACTGGGGATCTAGGGCAAGATCTGGAAAGAGTCCCAGAAGATCCATGTACAGGTTCAAGAAATACCTCAGTGAAGGTTCTGAAGGAGGAGGAGGAGGCAGATGGTGACTTGATTAGGCCCCGGGGGCATAAATCGGAAAATTACTTACCCAGGGGCCCAGGGAAGCAGCAGCTTGAAAAATCTCTGAAATCTCACTTGGAGCGGAAGCTGGGGAAGATCCACAAGGGCATGGTCCCTGTGCGTGTGCGGCGGTCCTGGCTTACGGCCAGCCATGCCGTTGCCAAGTCTGACACCCTCATAAACCCCAGAAACCTGGCACCCCAGAGCAGTCAGAAATGCTGTGTGAACACCTCACAGGAGCTTTCCTTCCTTGATCCCGGCACTCAACAGACGCTACAAGTACATATTATACGGTTTCGGGTGAGGCACAGGTGGAGTTCCAACCTCCAGTCCCGGGAGCCCATAAATCTCAAGGCTCAACCCCCATCACTTGCACTCTCCACCATTCCCTCCGTGGACATCGGTGAATTTGGGGACAACTCCATAGTCGAGGCTGCCAGTTTCCTGGGAGAATCACCCTTAGGAAGGTCCAAGAGAGAAGGCGATAACAGAAAGTCAGTTCTCACCCTGACTGGTTTTCTCCCTGTCCCCTCACCAAACTCCAACACTTAATATGCACGTGAGTGTAGGATCTCTGGGGACCAGTAAAATCTCCCAATGAGCTACAATTTCTGTTCCCCAGGATCCAGAAGAGCTATGTCTCCCATAATAAACTGGATACATGCAGAGAAAACCTGCTTTCTCATGCTAGCACATCCTCTATATGCTAATGGTTTCTATTGTTTCCCAGTAGATGTGTTTTCTGTCATCAGAGGAGGTGGCTTCTGTCCATGGGGTGCTGGGACACAGGGAAGGGGTCAGAGTCCACTCTCCCTTAGTGCAGCTTCTAGAAGGGAGGGGCATGGAGGAGGCTGACAGGGGCTTGCAGACCCACTCTCACCCTGGGGTCACTCACTGCACCTTGTTTCCATAACCCAGTCATTAAAAAGAGCTTTTTGGGACTGGTAGGACTGGCAAGCCCTATGAAGACTCCACCCTGGGAGCTGGCTCACCTGTCTTTCTCCACTTTCCCTCTGCTGCGAGCTCTGTGCGGCTTATGGAAGAAATACCCCTCAGGCTCCAGGAATGTGGGGACTCACAGGCTCTGAAGTGGGCTGGGAAGTTTGAGGACTGGGGGTGCTGGCCTTGGGTTCAGTGGAGAGATCTGGTTCCCATGGCTTTATGGTGGGGATCAGAGGACCCTTCACAGCCCCTGCCTGCCAGCAGAAATGGGCTCTGCCAGCCCCTCTGGGCTCTGCCTTGGTGACAGGAGCATGCCCCTCCTGGCCTGATCCTTCCTCCCTTTGAGAGCTGTGGCCAAGACAGGACCAGTGTGATTGGGTACAGAAGGAGGTGCTGGGGTCGTGTCCACCCTCCAAAGCCACCCACCTTCCCCTCTAGCATGACTGCATGCACAGGAGCCATCCGGTGGTGGCACATGGAGGACCAGGCTGGGGTGTGGGAGAAGAGTTGGAGAGGTGGGAGCCAGGCAGGCAGCAGAGCGCATACACACTCTAAGTGGAGCCCGCCCGCAGGTGCACCTGCAGGCTGAGGTGGTTGGGCAGCAGCCCCATGGTGAGGGGCTGGACCAGGAGGCACAAAGCTGTTGCAGGAAGGTGGCTTTGCCCACTGCATACGTGACCAGCCTATACCATCACCTCTGGAATTCCAGAGAGGACAACTGGATAACCAGCAGGAAAGCCAGTTCTTGGTGCCTTTGGGATCACGGCTTGGTGACTGTCACAGACACGTGGCCCCAGGGTTGCCGGGGGTGGGGAGTGAAAGCTGGTGGAGCAGGGCCAGCACCCAGGATGCTCCTGGAGCTGGTCCTATCTTGGCCAGGGATGGGGCAGTCTCCAGGGGGCCCAGCAGCAAGGGGGGCCAGGACCCCGGGAGGACTGGGGCTGAGCAGTGACCTCAGAAAGATACCCTCACAGAGAACCCCCCATAGAGATCTCTGACAAAAACTGCACCGAGAGACCCCACAGACACCTCTGACAGAGACCCCTTCAGTGATGTCTGAGTAAGAACCCCTCAGGGACCTCTGGCAAAGACCCAGAGACCTCTGACAGAGAACCAACTGAGAGATCCCCACAAAGACAATGACAGAGACATCTGGCAGAGACCCCCCCACCACCAAAATTCCCCCAGAGAGGTCTGAGAGAAACCCCTACAGAGACCTCTGACAGAGGCTTACAATGAGAGACCCCCCCACAGAGATATCTGGAAAAAGACACCTGCAGAGACCACTGACAGAGCCCAGAAAGAGAACTCTGACAGAGGCAGGTACAGAGCACTCTGAGACTTCCACTGAGAGACTTCTACAGAAACCTCTGACAGAGACCTCAGAGATCTCTGAAGATGACCAATATTGAGAGGCCCCCAGAGATACCCGACAGAGACCCCCATAAAGAACTCTGATAATGACACCTACAGAGACATAACAGAGATGGAGACCTACAGAGAGCTCTGACAGAGATACAGAGACTTACAGAGACCTCTGATAGAGACCCCCACACAGACCACTGACAGAGATCCCCACAGAGAATTATGGCAGAGACCCCACAGGGATCTACGACAGAGTTCCCCACAGAGTCCTCCAGAAAGCACTCACCCAGACTCCCACCGAGACCTTTGACAGAGACTACAACGGAGACCCACAGAGAATCCCACTGAGACCCACACAGAGACCTCTTCCAGAGACTCCAACAGAGAACTCCAGGGAATTCTGACAGAGATCAATACAGAGATACCTCAACAGAGAACTCTAGCTATGATCCCCATGGAGACCTCTAACAGGGACACACACTAAGAGATCCCCACATAGACCTCAGACAGAAACCCCCCAAAGAGACCTCTGATGGAGATCCCCACAGAGACATATAGAGTCCTCAGACAGAGAACCCAACAGAGGTCTCTGACTGAGGCACACATAGAGACCTCCAGAGAACTCTGACAGAGACCACACTGAGAGATTTCCAAAGAGATCTCTGACAGAGACCCCCAAAGAGACCTCTGACATTGACATTCACCAAGACCTCTGACAGAGACTGCCATAGATAACTCTAACAGAGACCCCCACAGAGACTTCTAGAAGCCTCTGACAGAGACACCCACAGAGAACTCTGACAGAGACTACCACTGAGAAACCCCCACAAAGACCTGTGACAAAGACATCCAGAGATGTCTCATAGAGACCCCCACAGAGACATGTGTTATAGAAACTCACAAATACCTCTGATAGATTCCCACAGAGACCCACACAGAGAGCTCTAGAGATCTCTGATGGAAATCCCCACATAGATCTTTTACACAGATAAACATTTAGAGAGGCCTCTGGGACAGATACCCACTGAATGTCCCCCACAGAGACCTATGACAGAGATGTCTGAGAGAAACCTATAGTGAGACAACCCCACAGAGATATCTGATAGACACATGCACAGTGAGTACTGACAGAATTTCCACAAACACCTCAGAGAGAGATCCAAACACAGAACTCTGACAGAAAACCCCACAGGGACTTCTGACAGAGACCTGCGCAAGACCTCCAGTAAGCTCTGACAGAAACCCCTACAGAGACCTGCAATGGAGACCCTCCCCATAGAGAACTTTAGAGAGTTCTGACAGAGACTAACACTGAGAGACCTCTGACAGAGACCCAGAGAGAGAGAGACTTTCACATAGACCTCTGACAGAGATCCCGACAGAGACCTCTGACACAGACCCCCACAGATACCTATGAGAGAGACACCAAATCCATGGAGACCTCTGGAGACCTCTGACAGAGACCTCCACAGAGACCTCTAGCAAAGACCCTCATAGGGATTTATGACAGAGACCCACACAGAAACCTGTGACAGAGACCTCCCCATGGGGCTTCTGACAAAGACCCCCCACAGAGACACCCATAGTGTACTCTAACAGAGACTCCTAAAGAGACTTCTGGAAAGACACCCCCCACAGAGAACTCTGTCTGAGACTCACACAGACCTATGACAGAAACCCCCACAGAGACTTCTGATAGAGAACTTCATGAATCTTCAGACACTTCTGACAGAGGCCCCCCCAGAGACCTCTAAGACAGAATCCTACTGAGAATTGTGACAGAGACCCCAACAGAGACATCTGACAGAGATGTCAACTGAGAGACAATTACAGGGATGTTTGACAGAGACTCCCACAGAGACCAATGACAGAGACCCCCAACAAAGACCTCCAATAACCTCTGAAAGAGACAATCATAAGACCTCTAGAGACCTCTGACAGAGACCCACAGTGAGACCTATGACAAACACTCACACTGAGAGACCTACATAGAGACCTCTGGTAGAAACCCCCACAAAGATCTCCAAGGACTTCTGAAAAAGACCCACACAGACACTTCTAACAGAGACCCAACTGAGAGACCTCCACAGAGACCTCGGGCAGAGACCACCACAGGGACTGCTTACTAGTCCGCTGGAAGGACCTCTGACAGATAACTCCACAGGGACCTCTGACAGAGAGAAATATTGAGAGAGCCCATTAGTGACCTCTGAGAAAGACTCCCACTGAGAATACCACAGAGATCTCTGACACAGTTGCCCCCTAAGAGATTCCCACAGGACCTCTGACAGAGAGCCCTACAGAGATCTCTAACAGAGTTCTACACTGAGATTTCTGATACAGACCCACACTGAGATACTTCCACTTAGATCTCTGACAGAGACCTTTGACTGAGACCCTCACAGAGACATCCAGATACCTCTGACACAGACCCATAGTGTGCTCTAACAGAGACCTACACAGAGACTTCTGAGACAGTCTCCCACAGAAACCCCTATCAGAGATCCATACTGAGAAATTCCCAGAGAAACCTCTGACAGAGATCTACCCTGAGACCTTCCACAGAGCTCTCTGACAGAGACACATCACAAAGACCTCCACAGCAACATCTGATAGAGACCCCACAGATACCTCTGTCAAAGACCCACAGTGAGAGACCTTCTACAGAGAGCTCTGAGAAAGACCCACACTAGGAGGCTTGACTTAGAGACCTCATATCCATTCTTTGGAGCACAAGATGGAGATCTCAGAGATTCATCCTGTGCCTCAAAAAAATACTTGTGTATTTCTGTTGCACCCGTGTAAACCTTAACTCTTTCAAAGAGCCAATATAATGTTTTGAGGAAAATCTGTAAAATTAAAGTAGTATTAAAATGTTTAACTTAATGGTACAAAGAAACTTCTATATTATTAAATATAAGTCACTTGTAAGTCAAATATGAATATCCTTGTAATTTTTGAAATTCTTGAAAGTAATATTTAGGTGTTTACAGAATACAAATTAAAAAGCAACTTTACTTCAAAATAGTCTTTCTAATATGACACAAATTTATTTAAAATCTATTACCAAAAAGATATGTGTTTAAAATAATTTACATATGCAACTTGCAACAGCTACATCTATTATGGTAAATCTGCTGTTCAAAAAAAATAAGCACCTACACCTGACCCACCTGAACATCTAATATGCTGAAAAGTCTAGAAAACCAGTTGCTTATTAACAATCATATGCAAAATAGAGTAGTGATAAATAACTGCATACATTTTCCATGTTTAAAAATTATTTCTGAATTATTCAAAATAATAAAAAATGTCCCTAAATATTACCTATTTCAAAGATGTGTAAAAGAGAAGGTAGAAAAATATGACTGCATGTTCAGTGC